ATTTTATAAAAAAAAAATAAATTTTTTTTTAATAAATTATAAAAAAAAAAAAAAAAAAAAAAAAAAAAAAAAAAAAAAAAAAAAAAAAAAAAAAATTTTATTAATATTTAGACTTGCTTATTTTTTCTTCTTTTTTTTTTTTTTTTTTATTAAGATATCGTATGCTATTCAAAGACATGTACGTCTAGAATTTGAAATAAATACTAGTAAAGATAATGAATTAGCAATGAAAGATATGGTAAGTACTTCAACAGCATACATACAACCTAATCGTGTAAAAAAAGATCAAAGATTTAGAACCTTGTCAGGAGTATCAAATTGGAGAGAATGGCAATAGCCAAATGATAGTCTCTATATGGGTCATATTCGTACATAAGCATTATCTAATTTTGGAACATGGAAAAATTTTACTCCAGCTCAAATTACAAAAGTAACTAAAATAAATTTAACTCAACCTACACTACAAATATCTAAGCATTCTACTTTGAAAAGTCTATAGAAAGTGCTTCTTTATCGAACAATAAGTAAAAAGCTAAAAACTATTGTTGATTCATTATAGGTGAAAAATTAAAATTACTAATTTGTTGTTTGTATTTAAGTTAGTGATGAAGTAAGTATTTTTGAATATAGTTGTTTATGTTGTAATTATAAGGTATAGTAGAATTTGATAAAGTTGAAGTTTGGAAAGAGTAGATTTAGTTTAGATTTTTTTTAGTTTTTTGAGTAATTCTTTGAGCAGATTCTTATTCGTGTTGTACTTGATTTCTGGTTTTCCAAATTGTATTGTTGAACCAGAAGAGTAGAGAGTTTGAGAGATTTATGAAGAAATTGTTAGTTGATTTTTTGAGTATTAGGTTTATTTGTGTATAACAGTTAGTGAGAATTATGCCTTGTATAAGAAGTAGAAAGATATTTGTTAAATTTTAAGAGTTGTAGGATGAAGTGATTAGTTGTAGAATAGTTTGTAGTAAAGTAGTATTTGTAGGTAGTGTATTTAGTGTATTTATTATTTGATTTAGAAGTATGTTTTGTAAGTCTATTGAGTAGAGTGTGCAGGAGAGTAGATGTTCAATGTTTTCATATTAATTGCAGAAGAAGCAGTTAGATGTAAGATAAAGGTATGGGTATCAGATATTTAGGTTTGATATTGTTGATAAGTTGTTTAAGATTATTTTGTTTCTAAGTGAGTATAGATTTAAGTTATTGTTTTGTGAGTTAATTATATTAATAA